AGAAAATGTTGACTCTCTAAACTATATACACACATAACTTTGAAGGAAAAAGATGATGGCTATATTGATCCTAACATTACTTTTTTCATCACCCCATACCGCCCAATTAACATTCTACTTTCCAAAGGGGACCAATGGAAAGAGGCCATTTGCCTCTAGAAGAATTCATATTTTCTTTTGTTTCATCCTAAAAACTTTTGCTTTATTAACAATCATTAAAAGTTTCTTCTGCAATAACAGCAAATTCACAATTGTACACCTGAAACTAATATAACTAGTAATATTGTATACCAACTATACTTAAATAAAATAACAGTAAAATACTGATCAACCAATTTTCCTTTAGTTTCCTGTTTGGTCGACTCCAGGAAGAGGGTACCCAGTTAGCAAGTGCTCTCTGTTGCTGTGAAGTAACTGTTCCTGGCCTCTCAAGTACCCAAATACTTGCCTTTAAGTGGCAAAGGTAGAAAAGGATATCAAAGTGACACCACCTCCAAAATGGTGAAGCCTTTGTTAAAACCACCTTAGTACCTCTTTTATTCTTTTTGAGGAAACTGATTTTTCCCTGCCCTGAAGTAAGTGCCTTGAGTTAGCTAAAATGGCCCTCTAACCAACCAGCTCCAACTTAGAAACTTTATTCTACTTGTTCTGAGTTAAAGACCCGTGTCTTTCTTCACAAAATATAACACGAGACAAAATCAGCAGAACCATGTTTTAAAAGAATAAAGTTTCAAAAATACATTTTTAGAATTGACTTGTTAATGACTCCTCAACTATACTAGAATACCCAACCAAAAAAAAAACTGTTTTCAAATTGAGAATAATAAAGACAATGCAGTAGTCTCTGGAAAATTAAAATTCTTTCTTCTGAGACTTCTTACTTTTCCATTAAAAGTCCTTGCTTTTCTGTTAAGATGTAATTTATGATACAACCATATAGGAAAACTGTTTTGCAAGTACCCACTAAAGTTAAATCAGATTCACATCCACCAAAAGACATGTACAACAAAGTTCACAGCAGCTTGATTTATAACAGTCGTAAGCCAGAAAACCATGCAAATGTCAATCAATACAATGAATAAATTGCAGTATATTCATACACTGGAATACTAGATAGCAATGAAAAAGAACTGTTATATGCAATCTGTGTAAATCTCAGATATGAAGTTAAGCGAGAGGTCTGATTCAAGAGTACATACTATGTCATCCTTTTATATGAATTTCAAAAACAAGCAAAAGTAATTTAAGGTGGCAGTGGTCAGTATATTAGCAGAGAAAGAGTCTGAATGAGAGAGAGTATGGGAAAGGCTTCTAGAGGAATAAAAATATTCTATATCTTTATATAGGTAGTGTTTACATGAGTATATGAAAAAATCAAGTTGTATATTTAAGATGTGCACTTCAAGATATTTAAAATATACCAGAATAAACTTTTTAAAATTATGAAACAATCAGAAAAATATTTTAAATTATAATTTATATTACATAATTATTTTATGAAATTGTGGTTATAGTAGATAGCAATTATGATTTCCATGTCTTTACTTGCAAAATAACAAGTTGTAACTCCATATTAGTATACTCATAATTTCCCAACTTTTCATTTCAAAAAGTATAAACCTACAGAAAAATTGAAGGACAAGTACAATTAACAACCATCTGTCCATCTAGATTCACCAACTGTTAACATTCTGCTTGTCACTTCCTTGCTCTCAGTTTGACATTAGACGCCTAAAGGATATTCTGCCACATAACCAAATTATCATTATCACACCTAAGAAATTTAACATTGATATATTATTATTTAATATATGGCCCATTATTGAGTTCTCTAATTGTTTCAGAAATGTTCTTTATAGATTCTTCCCATTCCTCAACCCAGAATTCTGTCACAGGTTTGTGTGTTGCATTTGGTTGTCCTATTTTATTTTTCATTTTTTTAGGCAAGGCAACCCTTGGTTGACCTCACAGATTGCAAGGAACTTGTCAGCTTACAATCTCTTATTTTTTATTTTTTATGCCTACAGCACCTGGTTTTCCTAGGTGGTCTCCCATTCAAATACTCTCCCCACCAGGCCCGACCCTGCTTAGCTTCCGAGATCAGGATTGGGCTTGTTCGGGGTGGCATGGCCATAGACTGGTTGTCCTATTTCTTGAATCTCCTTTAACCTAGTATACCATGTCCCCAAATGGTCTTAGCTATGTTCTTTCTTTTTATTCTTCCCACTATGACATTAACAATTCTGACTCAGTTTAGTTTGTAAATGTTCCTGGTATATGAAACCCAAAAGCCAGCAAACAAATGATTTCTATTTACTTTGTGTCATCTATACTCCTTAGGAGAGCAGGAGTACTGAAATACCTGTATGCTGACAGACTATTCAGGTCAAAAATACAGAGGCAAGATAGGTCAATTTCACAGATGTTTACAATCATTCTGCTTTAACTCACCGCTGAGTCTGAGCAGGCCATGGGGTCTGGTTTGGTGTGGGCGCTGAATTCGTAGGACTTACTAGCATGGCACTATAGATATTGGAAGCAACCACAAGTATACAGAGAAGAATGGGCCCGATGATTGCTCCTTCCAGGCCTAAGTAGTATGCTCCGCCAGCCACTGCCAAGCCTGTCAAGTAAGGATGGCCACCTCTGGAATGAAGAGTACATATATTAGCTCATGACTTTTAACATAAACCTTGGAGCAAAAATAAAATACATTCTCAAACACAGTGTTCATTCTCTAATACACCAGGCTTTTGACTACATTATCAATTTTCTTTAGATGATCTCAATGGGGACAACTGAACATTGTAATAACATTGAGATGCATGCAAGAATTTTTCTTGTCTATATAACACATCTGACATTTGCTTTTATAGGCCCAGTAACTGAAGGAGTGAAGTCAGTAATGTTAACAGAGACCTGCACCCATAACGCAGCTGCCTGAAATGGGTATAATGTTGGCTCAGGACTGGTTATATCAGTCACCTGTCAGGTTTACCTCCATCAAGGATAATTAAGTAGGCACAATTTGGTATGTAATTATGCTTTTTTTTAAAGATGATAAAAATAGAATAGCAACACTGTTACCCATAGGATAGACTTCTAGCAACCTTATAAAACAAAGTTTAATACAGGTAGTGATACAAGGCCTCCTGAGGGAAATATCTGTCACAAAGCCCAATATTTTTATTTCCCAGGAGAGTCATAATTGCCCTTCAGCTTATCATAGTATCACTTATGTAACCAGAATGAAATAAGATAGATCATAGCAACACAGCACACGGATGATAATAAATGACCACTGATGTGAGAGAGACTAGGAAATAAGTTCTGTTTGTTTCTAGTTTTTAAACACAGATAACTAGAACCATTTAGTGCAAGATGAATAACTACATACCCTGAAAGGATGCCCCATATTATATGACAGCTCAATAAGTAACATTTAAGGTGAGCCAGTCTTCAAGAAATCAATACATTATATTCATAATTTATTTGTCTTTGTCACTTCAAAAAAGGATTTAGGGCAGAATTTTAAGTATACTATGTGAGTAAGCTTTTTTCCTAAACAATACATTTAAGGGAAATTTCTATCAAAAATGCTTAAATCTCAAAAAAGAAAGTGTGAGAGCTTATAGACATTTAATTTATTAAAAAATAAAAAATTATTAAAAAATAAAACAACTTATGCAAAATCTTTCATTTCCTAATGACACTAGTTAAAAAGGTATTATCTTATTAAGATGAAAATCATGTATAAATCTTAAATTCTAGGTAGTAACCTTAATATAAATTTATAGTAAAATTTAGTGAAATGAAAATACTTAACTATAAATTAGTTAGCTAATCTTACTATTTAAATTTCAACTGTTAAGCCCTAATTAATCACATTCTGATGTTCTCCTTTAATCTTTAATCTTCTCATAAAGTTTTAGGCATAAAAGTTCCCACTAAGCTTGCTTATGGAGTTACTTGTTTCTTTTCGCTCTGGAATTTGCGGGCTTCAGAGTTAGTTCTACATCATTTGTTTTCTACCTTAACTTCCTAGAGAGACAACAAGTTGACATACAATTTGTCTCTACATGATTTCAAACTGAAGGGCACTTTTCTATAAACTTGGACCTTGTCTACAGTTATTGTGATGATGAGTTTTACTTAAAGAAAATTTAGTATATTACCTATTATGACAGTTTCAGTAGGCCACATGCTGAATTTGAGTAGCTGATTAAAATTCAACATTTGGTCACATCCCAGATTCTAATAAGCAATGTGAATCTGAATACATAAATAAATGAGAATTGGCCTGATTTGCTTAATACAAATTGCAAAGAAATATCAAAACCTACAAAAATACAGATATTATATGGCCAAAATTTGGCTTCTGCCTTATACTTAACCTGTATTCATCAAAGAATCATACTATATAATATCTTAAAAGAACTCTGCTTGTCAGACATTAACTTGATGAGATTTCACTTCACATGGAAATTGCCAGACATGCAACCTAACATTTTCCTCCAAAAGCAAAGAGTTCTGAAAATAATCACTAATTTGTTACTTTACTTAAAATATTTTATATACCTCTAGTAATATTCTTCCCTAGGTTAAATGTCACTAAATCAGAAGATCATTCGCAATTTTGTTTTAACCCAGGGTCTCATATATTATAAATAATACTTACATAACAGCAAAATACCTTGCTGTTATGTAAGTTTAAATAATATAAACAATATTATTTATATTAAGCTTTGATTATATCAGTTGTATTGTTTAAATAATATAAACAATATTATTTATATTAAGCTTTGATTATATCAGTGGGATCACAGAAGGCTACTTCACTAAAAAAATTCTACTACCTATCCTTTCTCTCATCTCTAAAAAAAAAGAAAAACGTCCTTAAAAAAGGTCACAGAAATCCATGGATATGATTCACTAGCAACTTCAGAAGTTCTGTGAAATACTTACCCTGATATATCAGAATAGATGGCAGTATCTACAAAATATGTTGGCAAGAGATGAAAAATCAACAGTAGAATGGCTTTGCATCCTAAGCCTTGGGTAAGCCACAGGTCTAGAACTGCAGGTATTGCTGCCCAATATGTCCCCAGAAATGGCACTGCTCCAAGGATCGCTGCTAAAGCTAGTAAAAGATTAAAATAAGAAAAACTACTGAACATCATCATCAAAAACAATAATGAAACAGTAGAACCTAAGCACAAGTGCCTGCCTCCTACTTAAAAATTTCCAACAAATGAGTTCGACAAATACCAATTCGAATTTTTGGGGAATGATATGCTCTTGTTTAACTGACTTTGCTAGTTAAGTGAACTTGATATTGAAAATCTTTCTAAAGTGACTACTTCATGAATCTTTTCTTTAGCAACAAAATTTTAGCGTCCTGCAGTTGTTACTCTAAATCAAGGGTTAGTTAATATATAGTCCTATAATGTAACCATAGAACATTGGTCATAACTTGCACTGAGTCCAAAGCCAAATCAGAAATTAGTCTCTTTATGTCAGATATGAGTATATATTCTATACCTGCTTTCTAATAAAAAATTAAATGTAATTAAAAAATAAAAAACAAAACTCCCGCCAGTTGAAGGACCTTATTTCCAGCTTGTCTCCTTCCAGACCGTTATGTTAAAACACTCAGAGTCAAGCAGATGTGGATTCCAGTTCTGGTCTTAACCATTAACCAGGTATGTGACCTTGGAAAACTCTGGTTTCTCATCTATACAACAAGGACATCACCTATCCTGCCTGCCTCAGAGGGCTGTCATAAAACAACCACCTCCGTGTGCTCCCATGGTGCTTGCATGTCAGAGGGTGGCTTTGTGGAACACAAGGTAGCAAAGAACCTGAATGAACTTGGGAATGTAAAAATGGATGGGGGCACCTACGAAAGAGGAAATAAATGGTGGTAGAGGTAAATGTGGGAGGCAGATATATTTAGGAAGACAATCAGCCACAGAAATAAAGGAAGAAAAAAATGGATGAAGAGGAGCAGAGATAACATATAGGAAAAGGAAAAGATGGTCATCAAATCATCCTGGTGCTTACAGAATGCAGGTATTATCACAACAGATCTCAAGAGGTGTGCAGACAGCTTGTGGGCCCTCAGAAGCATTCACCTTGACACGCCACCTCCCCACTCCCCGCCCAAAGTAAACTTCATGGGACAAAGCTATTTGACCAACTCATTGCTCCCTGCCAAACGGTTCGATTCAAACATTTATCAAGTGCCAGTTATGTGCTAGGTGTTGTGCTAAGTGCTAGACATTCATTCATTTAACAAATACTTATGCAGTGTTTTCTATATGCTGGATATTGTTCTAGCTACTGAGGATATAGCAATAAGTAAACATTACAAATCACATTTCTGCTTTTAATCTGAACTAGATCGGATCTCAAATTTTAGTATTTTAAACTTAGGGAAGATGACATTTCCGAATGTACGTAACATGGCTTAACTTTCTTTTGAGGACAGTGGAAGTTATGACACAGTTGTTACCTGATGGTATGAAGACAATATTGATGCCAAATATAGTATGAGTCAGCCAGGTGTACAATCCATAGAAGCCAGCCATTTTGAGGGAAGCATCAAACACCCCTCTAGAATGCCCAAAGATAAAAGAGAAAGTTAATAAACATAGGATCATACTGTGATTCAGAAATAGCAATATTTGTAGGTTTCTGGCTACTTTATTACGAATCTCAAAATATATAGCTTTGATTTTTCCAATGCCTAAGAATGCTATTTTCATTTTGTTTCAAAGAAACATAAAGACTTTATTTTAAAATCCAGAAATATGTTTAAACCGTTCTTTAAATTTCTCTGATGAAAAAATAACTGAAATAAAACACCTTAAAATCCAATATTCAGTGAAATAGTCAACTTTTCATTTCTAAAGGAGACCCTTCCCTGCCAAAATAGATGGAAAGAAAATTAAGTGTGAGTACCACATTTCTGGGGGTATTGTTAAATTCTAAGACACCTAGGCTCCTCCCCTTTGGGAAGAGCAAGTAAGAGATAACATGACTTGTACTTGGTCAGTCTTTCTTCTCTTGTTAACGAAATTTTCCCACATTTCTTCTAATATGTAACCAAGCCTACAAAGTAACTTCAACAAATGCTAATTATCAAAGAATACAGGTCATTGAGAGACACACATACTTGGTGATTAACAGGAATAAAGTATATGAAAATCTGCAATCTCAGGCACTTCATTTATGCTTTTCAATTGGAATATTATTAAGGTAGTACTTTGTAAGGAGGAGAAATAAGGAACCGCTCAGATAGAGCACAAGGCAGGAAATCTTACGTTATCCCAAGGGATCACAAAATTACAAAAACCAGGATCCTGCAGGGCTCAGGAGAGGCACGCTCATATACTCATATAGTCACGAGAGAAGGAAAAGCTGCCCATAATTGAAAAAGCAGAGGCTGTAGCAGCAAAGGTAACATTGTACACACAAAAAGAAACATCAAGCTTTTCTAAAGCATCCCAAAAGGTGTACTGTTATAAGCACAGTCAAGCTCTGGAACTTAGGGATTTACTCATTTAGTAAGTTCTGAGACATGAATTTGGTGAGAGTGGTTCCTCAAATTGTGAAACCCTCTTTGTCAACCTGACCAGCAACTTTTACTCATGAATGTCTTAAAGGTTCCATGTGACAGATTAAAGTGGTATCAAAAAGACTGAAAGGAAGGGAGATAGCCAACAGAAAATGTAAGAGATCTGACTTGTAACTGAATAGAGGGGGCAGAGGAAAAGGAAAATGGCAGAGGTTTGGGTTTTAAACCTGAAAAGAATGGCAGTGTCTCAAAGACACAGAGAAGCCCAGAACGGGAGAGGACATGGAAGAGAAGGGAATACATTTAGTTTGGGCAATGGTTAGGAAAAAGGACGATGAAAATGCCCTAAGGTACCTGGAAGTAAGAGACAAGGCTTAACAGAAAACTTGTGACAAGAGATCTGAGATGCTCCAGAGTGGACTAATCATAGGAAAGGATAAGATATCTCAAGGAGCAAGCCTAGAGAAAAAGAGGCAATGCGCTGTGTTCTCATAAGGGACCTGAGGACAAAGATACACCAGCCAAAAAGATAATTAATCATTTTTGTAGTAGGAATCAATGGAATGTAGTATTCCCAGAAACCAAGGATAAAGAAGCTTTTGAGAAAGAGGGAATAATGAGATCAAGTATCACAGATTAATGAGAATAAAGTCTAAGAAAAAAAGTACAGAATTTGACTAGAACCAAGGAAGTCAATGAGAAAAAGATATAGATGTGGTACTTTCATCAATTTTATGTTATTTAAAAAATTTTTAAGCCAAAAATAAGTTGACGTCATAGGTGCAACTGAATCAGCTGTCTGGATGGCAAGAAAGCAAAGCTCGATCCAGAGGGATCACTTGCAGAAAACAGCACGCAGTCTCCTTTCTTCTCTCTCTGAGAATTTTAATTGTAATATTCTCACTAAGGCAACATTCAAGTAATTTTGTGGACCCAAATGCATTATATGTTGTTTGCAGTTCCTAAACATATTTATGTAACCCAATGAGGGAGGAAATGACAATACATTCCCCTCTATCTTATTATCTGGTACACAAGCTTTATAAATCAGCAGAGAAAAATCCTCTAAGGATTTATTGAGACTTTTGCAACTCCCTCAAATTCCTAGCCATTTTTTCTCTTTTTTTCCTCTATTAGCTTTACTAAGCTATAATTTATAAACAATAAAACTCACCAACTTTAATTCAGTAAATTCTGACAAATGTATACAGCTGCATAACCACTACAAGATATACAGCATTCCATCACCCCAAAAAGTCCCCTCATGCCCTTTTATCTTCCTTTTATTATTTATTTTAATTAGTTTCAAGTGTACAGGACATTGGTTAGACATCTATATAATTTGTAAAATGGTCCCCTCAATTGCTCCCTCCCTCCCGACTCTCCACATAGACAATGTATTCGTTCTAATTGCATTCCCTATGCCGTACTCCCCACCCCCGTGTCCAATCCATCAGCTACTAAATTGTACTTCTTTAATCGTTCACCCCATTCTCTCAGTCCCCCAAACTCCTCTGTCCATCACCAAATTGCCCACTATATTTGTGAGTCTGTTTTTGATTAGTTTGTTCTTTTTATTCCTTTGATTCTGCATATAAGTGAAATCACATAGTGCTTATCTTTCTGTCTGACTTAAATACATTCTAGGTCCATCAAAGCAATATGTTTTTCCATCCCCTTCTAGTCTGTGTCTTCTAATCTGAAGTGAGTCTTATAGGCAACATGTAAGGGTCTTGTTTTCCTTTCTATTCATCCATTCTTTGAGTTGGAACACTTAATTCTTTTCCATTTGAGGTACTTATTGATAGGAATGTAATTGTTACCATTCTTTATTCCTGTTTTTGATGACATGTTTTTACTTCTTAAAGAATTCTCTCCAACATTTCCTGTAATACTGGCTTGGTGGTGATAAATTCCTTCAGTTTATTTTTGTCTGGAAAGCTCCTTATCTGTCCATCAACTCTAAACGATAGATTTGCTGAATAAATTATTCTTGGTTGTAGATCCTGGGTCTTCATTCTGTCGAATACTTTTTTCCAAGCCCTTCTGTCCTGCATAATTTCTTTTGAGAAATTAGCTGCCAGTCTTATAGGTTCTCCCTTATAAATAACTGTTTTTCTCTTGCTTTTAGTATTCTTTCTTTGTATTTAACCTTTGGCATTTTAACTATGATGTGTTTTGGTGTGGGCCTCTTTGGATCCCTGATTTTTAGAATTCTCTGAGCTTCCTGGGGTTTTATGTCTATTTCCTTCACCAGGTTAGGGAAGTTTTCCATCATTATTTCTTCAAACAGCTGTTCAACATCTTGATTTCCTTCAGTTATGCCAATCATGAATATTTGGACCCTTAATAGTGTCTCATGTGCTCCTTAAATTATTTTTATAGCCTTGGCCTCTTTTCCTTGCCATTCTGATTGAGTGTCCTTGGCTTTCCCATCCTCTAGATACGGCATTTGATCCTTTTCTTTATTCATTCTGTTTATTCCTTTGTTTATTCCATTTACTATACTTCTCATCTCAGATAATGTGTTCTTCATTTCTGACTGGTTCCCTTTTATAATTTCCATTTCCATTTTTATGTTTTTTATCTCTTTGTTGAAGTTCTCACTGAATTTAACCAAAAGTTCATTGAGCATCTTTATAACCAGTGTTTTGAACTCTGCATCTGTTAGATTACTTGACTCCATTATTTTGGGATCTCTGCTCTGTTCTCTCATATGGTTGTTTCTTTGTCTTCCCATTTTGGCTGCCTTTCTGTGTCTGTTTCTATATACTAAGCAAAGCTCCTACGTCTCCCGATCTTATCAGTGTGGATTTGTGAAGTAGGTGTCCAGTGGCACAGTCCTGAGGGGAGTTCAGCTGCAGGTCAAACTTGGCCCAAGCCTCTAGCCCTCCCGGGCCATCTGTTAAGATTCAGCAAGCAATCCACAGATGTTGTGCTTATAGTTGCCTCAAACGGCCACATCAGAAACCAAGGCCAATGTCTCCAGAGTAAATCTAGGCGCTGCTCAGCAAGGAGTACCTGACTCATTGAGGATAAACCTGGATGTGGCTTGGGTGGGGCCGTGAGATGGGGAAGGCGGGGTTTCAGGGAAACCTCTGGGTGAAAGGACCTCTGTTATCCAGTCTGAAGACCTAAGGGCTATGGTGGCACTGTGTGTGCACATTAGGAGGGAGAAGGGCTCAACACGGAACAATGGATACCGCAAGCACTTCTATACAGAGCAAGTGTGACCTCGGTCTTCACTCTGACAATGTCTCCCTGTAAGTCCCTGGTGCCACCTGTGCGCAGCCGAATAGGCACTGATGCTCAGAGTGAGAAGGTCCGTCACCACGAAAATCTGCTCGTGGACGCAGCCCCTTTAAGAGGCATCTGCTGCTGCCTCAGCCTCTGTCTCAGCCGCTTAGGACCTGGCAGCCCCGCGTCCTCGCCCTTTCCTACCGTCTGCCATTGCAGGGTGCTTTCTTGGATTTCTCCCTAGTTGTAGGGCTTGTTCATCAAGATCCCAGGTGATTTTTCCTTGCTGCTGCTCCTTGTTTCCAACACAACTTTGATTTGGTCGCCAGACGTATAAACAGAGCCTCTATAATCTACCCATTTTGGTTGCTATAGTCCCCTCATGCCCTTTTTTATAGTAAATCCCTCCCTTTCAGAGTGGTCTCTGAAAGCCACTAGTTATGCTTTCTGACACTACAGTTTTGCCTCTTCTAGAATTTCATATTAACAGAATCATACATCACTTACCTTTTTCATTAATTGTTAATAAAATATATGTAACGTGAAACTTACCCTTTAAGTGTTTTTAAGTGTACATTTCAGTAATGTCAAGTACATTCCCACGGTCATCATGTAGCTTTTTGTGTTTGGTTTCTTTTACCTAGTACCATGCTTCTGAAATTCGTCTACACTGCTGTTTGCTCCTTTTGCGTTGGTGGGTAGTGCAGTATTCCATTATATGGATACACCATGACTTGTTTATCTATTCACCAGGTGGTGGGCATTCGGGCTGTGTTCAGTTTAGGGCAACTATGAATAA